ATTTTGTTTATATCAACCATTACCGTATTACCAAAATATGAAATAGACTTATATTTTTTCATATACAAAGATTTAAACTATTTTCGAGAGTTTGTAAATATACATTTTTGAGCTTATGAATCCCTTGAAGGTTAGTTTTTAAAATCTTTTAAACTTCTTCAGAGGTGATGTGATGCTATTCTTAATTTGTAGTGAGAAATGTAACAAATTTATCAATTGTTTTAAAAGAGTATAAAATGTATTATTCTTATGAGAATTGCTATTAAGCTTGAAAATTAATATAAAACTTAACAAAAAGCAAACTAAACAATATATTTTGAGTTTTTATATCAAAATGTGTAAGAAAAATATATCTTACAATGAAAAATAGTATTGAATGAAAATATCAAAATGAGATTTAGATTACTAGAAAAATAATAATAAAAAGAAGAAGAAAGAATATAGAACTAAATTAAAAGTTAAGATGAAATGTAGAACAAATGAGATTATGCATAAAAATACGTGATTATTATGAAAATATGGAGAATAAAGCAATACAAAATAGGGTGGTTATGATTCAAACTTCATGTACATTCTCACTCATGTAGAAAAGTACAAATTCTAACATAATTTGATGATGTTATTACAATATCTAACGCTTTGATACATGATTTAACTTTCTAACATAGTAAAATCTAATATCTTGGTATTTTACACTAATTTTTAGCTAGAAAATTCTAATGTCTTAGGCAAATTCAACTAAAAATAACATTTATGAACAAAAATTGATAACAATAAATCAACCTTTAACTTCTATATTTAGGTAATTGAAAATAACAAAAAAAAAAAAAAAAGAGCATACCTCAAATTTGAGCATGGAAAGACATTAACTTTTGAATGACAACTTTTGGATCAACAAGAACTTGTTGGATTAAGATAAGTCATTATTGATCTTTCTTTTCTTATTTCATTAAAGTTTTTTTTCTCATTTTGTGACAAAATAATCTAATCTTGAGATTTAATATAACATTTCTTGATAATTTTCCATACCTTAATAAGACCTTTATGTATTAACATCAATTATTATAATTTTCTTTAGTGAGACATGACAATTGAAATATACTTAACCCATTATTTGTCATTTCTCAACTTTTAAGGTGTTTCACTTAATTCTTACGATAGTTCTTTCAACTTTCAAGGTCAAACTCAAGTTCTTGATATTCCATTGGTAGAAGTTGAAAAATAAAATTAACAAAAAAAAAAATTATTATTTGTCACACAAAATATATGAATATTGTCTACTATTTATAATAATAGTATAATAATTCATAACTTATATCAAATAATTGACGTAGTATGTTACTAAATGTCAAGTTGTTACAATCTAAAAAGTCATTGCTTTTAATTAAGAAATTTTGGTCTTCAACTCATACTAACATATATTTACTTACAAATTTTTTTATCTTTGTAATTAATTATTTTTTCTAACAATATTATGTGTTCTTTTTCAAAACAAATAAGATTGCCTTTTACTATTTACAATAAATTTTATGTTGCATGTTTAACTTAGTATGTTATGATATATAGGGATATTCCAAACCAACTTATGATAGAAAATATTGTTTTTTTTTTAACTTCACTGATGATTCACGTAAATTTACTTGATGCATAATAAGTTCTAATTTGTTGGATTCATCAAACACTTGTTTAGGGTTTAGACTTGATTTTAAAAGGCTATCTAATAGTTTTACACTAGCAATCCTAAGGAATTAACTGTTCATGAATTCTTAGCATCCAAAGGCACTTTACAATCAATACAACTATTCAAAGAGGCCTAATCTAATACCATGATTGAAATAAAACATTAATACCTCTTGAATGTAGCAAGGTCCTTCAATTCCTCTATCTTTTTGGAAGAGTGTCAAAATTGTCATTATATAATCAACATAACCTTAATTACAAATTTATATATTCAATTCCCTTACAATTTAGTATTTTGATTTGATCTTAATTACATGCAATTCAAAGTGTTTAGTTGCTTGGCTTTTGTCTTTATATTACCTTCTTACAAACATAAATTTGAAGAAACAACAATACCCACTATTTTTGTTAGATATTTGAATGTATAGAAGGATATAGGTTGTATAATTTGATAACAAAAAATTCCCCTTTTCTCTTTCTCTATTAAAATGTTATGTTTTATGAAACAACTTTTCTCTTTCGTTAGATCTCTTATAAATATGAGTCATAATTCTATCATAAATAATCAAATTTACTGAATGGACGCTAACAATTAAAAAGGAACTTGATGTAATTGAGGCTAACAATACTTGGATAATTGTCACTTTTCTAAAAAAGAAACATTCAATGGGATGTCAATGTATTAATAAGGTCAAAACTAAAGTTGATGGTTATGTAAATAGGTCAAAGACAAGATTACTAGTGTCAACTAGATATTAATAATACATTTCTTAATAATAAGCTCTTTGAAGAGGTATACATGGATGCGGCTTTGAGCTTTCACATTCAGGGAGTAATTTGTGTGCAAATTAAACAAATTCATTTATATATTTAAACATGTATCTTAATCCAAATGTGATTATTATTTGTCTACTACATCATCAAATTATTCCTTTATGACCCATCTTGGTATATGTTGATAATATTATAGTTGTAGATCTCATTATTGTGCTTATTGATCAAGTCAAATAGAAATTACAATCATTGTTTAAATTAAAAGTAATTAGAGATTTATGATATTTCTTGGGTCTAAAGTTGGGTCATTTGTTGAAAGACATCTATTTGTCATGGAGAAAGTATACTTTAAGTTTGTTAGATGATACAACATTTACTGACTTCAAACTAACGTTTATGAATCTCAATATTAAATTGTCATATCTAGACATGTCATAGGCTACGTGGTCAACAAACTTAGCCAATACATGTTTCAACCTTGAACAACTTATTTATATGCCATCCATTATTTACTGTTTCCTAAAGGTTCCATTGGCCAAGACATTTTGTTCTCATCATATTGCACCTTGAACATCAAAGCATAAGTAGATGTTGATCAAGGAAAATTGTATTAGCTTTCGTATATCCACTTTAGGATATCATGTTTTCATATGAAATTCACTTATTTCTTGAAAAATTTTAAAGTATAATGTTGTATATTGATATTTTTTAAAGACTAAATATCAAGTTCTTGCTAGAGTTGGTAGTGAATTAACTTAGTTGCATATATTCTTTGGAAAGTTAATATGAATATATAGTTTATCTCAATTTTATATGATAACTAATAAATTAAATATCTAACTTCTAATTGTCCAAACATATAAAAAATTTATTGCCATTTCACTCAAGAAAAGATTGCTAATGACTTTATTAGACTTGTGGTAGTTAATTCTACCTACCCACTGGCTACTTCTTTACTAAACTTGTGATAATTTCTATACTTTATAATTTTATAACTGAAATGAATTTACTCAATTTCTTTTTCTCAACTTTATCTTCACATGGAGTATTATAGTGTAAACTTTATTTAATTTGGTTAATTTTTACTAATTCTTAGTTGATTAAATGTCATTTTTAATTTTATATATATATATATATATATATATATATATATATATTAGAATGATCTTCTTATATTATTGTAAGTCTAAAAATTTTTATACTCGATTTGAGCCTTTTATTTAACTTATATATAACATGTTATAATTTATTACTTTATTGACCATTAGATATAAGCTAAATGAAAGACTTAAATCAAGTATAAAAGCTTTTAGAATTAGACTAGTGTGAGAAAATTTGTTTCACACACACACACACACACACACACATATATATATATATATATATATATATAATATACAATTTTGTATTGAATAAAAATTTTTATATTCATACATTTTTTTTATTTTATGTAAGAAAAATTATACTTAACAATTATTTATTTAAATTTTTAAGTTAAAAAATTATTTTAAGACACATTAGGTGAAAATTTTAATACAAATAAAAGTTTAAAATTTTTAATAAATTAATATAACTTGATAGTATAATAGAAGTTAATATTAGTAAATTGAATTTATTTATTTGAGTTAATATTCTCAAATTGAATGTTAAATATACAATTTATTCTCATATTATTTATTAAAATTATTGTGATTGGTATTTTCGGCTTAAATTTTACTATAGATTTCATTTATATAAATATATATATATATATATATATATATATATACTCAACAAATTTAAAAACATCAAAATATAAAACATATTTTAATAATATGTAAATTTGATTAGAAATAAGTTTATGTCACATTTTATTTAAACTTTGGCATGACTAGGCATTTATGACTGATATATTTTTTAACTTAACTTTAAGTGAAACATTAAAAATATAAAATTACCTAGGAGCTTAGATTAGGATATATAGTCGAAGACCTATAAAACTTTTTTTTAACATTTTAATTTTTTAAATATATATCTACTGACAAAATTATTATTTTGAACATAAAATATTTATTTGAAAATTAATGTATAACCATTATAAAATTTTAATTAGATAAAAAATAATAAATAAATAAGTAAGCAAGTTATACCGCCATGATTATTAAAAGAGTTGATATAACAAAAATATAAAATATTTTATTTTGATATCACACAAATAATATTAACTGTAACTTATATTTTTTATAATTAAATTTTTTTAATAAAGTGTATTACATTAAATTTTTTTAACGTGTAGTTAATAATATGTAATATAAAATTAACATTTTTATTAAAAATTATGATATTTAGTATTATTGATATATTATATTTCATTATATCTTATAATTTTTAATAAAAATTTATTATTTAAATATTTAATATATATTTAAATAAACGTAAAAATTGTTAGTTTATTATTAATAAAAAAATAAATTTTAGAAATTTACATTGACATAATATAAAATATAAAAGAAATATAGTTTATGAACCACTATTTTTCCCATTTTTATTATTCTCCTTCCTCAGTCGTTCAGGTTAATGAGCGAACGTTTCCCTTGCCGTAAGAAGCCGTTACTCGTTACCGTGCGCACTTCACTCTCTCTCTCTCTCCCCCTCCGTAGAACAAGAGATTCAAGAGAGAACGCCACCGCTGAACGAAGGTGTGTAATCCCCTATCTTTGTATCTATTGCGTACATTTACCTTTCTCTCAATATGTGTTTTCTCTTCAAAAGTGTGTGTGTAGGTTTTTCTATCGTTTTTTGCTTCAACTTTGTATTCCTCACTCCCTGTGATACAATACTGTTTGTGGTTCTTCGATTAGGATTTCGATTATTTGCATTGAAGCGCGAGGGTTATTAATCTGGTGATGGAGAAGTGGGAATCGACGGCTTAAAGGAATCATTCCAAAATCTGTGTTGAAAACCTAGGGCTGCAAAATGGACGGTGAGGATATGAGGTCTGGGACCAAAAAGAAGCGATCCAAGAGGGAAATTGGGTTTGACTCCGACGATGACGAGCCCCTTGGGTCTATTTTGAAGCTAAAGAGGTCTAAGAAGAAGGCTAGTTTGGTATTAGAGGGGTCTTGTGGTGATGCTGTTAGGGAAAAGGAGGATTTGGGAGGTATGGATGATACCTTGGCTAGTTTTAGGAAGAGGTTGAAGGGTCCAAAGAGAGATCAGGGATCTGGGGCCACCAAAGCAACTGGAACAATTAGTTCTTTGCATGTTCCTCTTCAGGTTGAGGCTCATGCTGTGTCTGATGAAGATTTGGTTGCTTTGGGATCTAGGAGTACCTCAAAGGATGAGAAAGGTGTGGCCTTTTTGCCTGCTGATGACATGCAGATGCACCACTCTTCTGATCAGCATATGGAAGATTCCTTGTCTGCGATTTTCCATAAGTCACAATCTAATTCGGCTAGGAAATCTCGCGCCTCTTTGGGTTCAAAGCAGAGAAAGGTGATTCAGAATGTGGATAGTGGGTTGAGCCCTGGCTCTGAAAGTTTTGTGGAAGCTGCGGATTCTGTGGTTGAAAGTGGATCTAGATCTGCTTCTTTCTCGAAATTGGTAATGGGGAATGTCATGACCACTGATGCTTTGCCTCAAGCTTCTGACCCGTGTCCACTTTCTTTGGTATGTGTTATGGATAATCAAAAGTGTGGTGATGACTGTTCTCAAGAGGAAACAAACAAAGCCAATTGTGATTTGAGCACTCCAGAAGGACCTTTAGGTGATCCCTCTCACTTGATCAATGTCTGCAATAGAGATAGGCAGCAATTGGCTTGTGTACAAGTTGAAGATATTTGTTGTGCTTCTGACCAAAATGTTGTGTTTCAAGAAAGAGTTCTTGGTGATGGTTTAAATAAGTGTTCTTCCGTATCACATGATGAAATAATTGATACTGCCTCTCTCTCAAAAATGGGGGAAGGGGTAAGTGGGTTTGCTGCAGTTGGAGAGTTTGAAAATAGATTGACTGATGAACTAGCACAAGTGTGTAATGGTGCTTCAGATTGTGATGTTTCTACTTCTATGGGGAACGAAAATATCTTAACTTCTGGTCACACTGAGCCCTTGATTGAATCAACTGAAAATATATTGAATGAGAATAATAATATGGTTTATGGAAAAGTTTTCCAGGAATCCTCAAGAAATGGAGCTCTAAAGTTCTCTGGATGCGATGTGGAAGTAGATGGAGGTGGAAAATCAGAAACTGAGTTTGTTTCTGGTAGAAATTTCTGCAATTATAATAGTTTAGATACAAAGGCTGAAGTGCAAGATTTTGTTTTAGGTTTTTCACCTAAAAGAAATTATGTAACTGTAAGTGGTAGTTTATCTTCTATGGTGTCTAATGAAGCCAATGAATCTGAATTAGCTGCACATTCAAATCGCCTTGATAAACCTCTAGAGGCCTGCAATATTCCAAAAGACTCTACTGCATCAATTCTGAAATGCAGCTTGGTGTTAGATCCAATTCAATCTGATGGATCCTCTCTTCAATCTTCAATTCCAGATGAAAATGGGAACTATGCAGAATACCATGCCTCTTTATCTGATTATGCTGACAACGAAGCTAAGATATCAGGCACTCCACGGGCAGTGCGAAAGGCCAAAATGCGTAAACATGGAGACATGACATATGAGGGGGATGCTGATTGGGAGATTTTAATAAATGATCAAGCTCTAAATGAAAGTCAGGTTGTAGATGGTGATCGCACTCTTAGAACTAGAATGAAGAATGAGTCCTCTTTGAATACTGTTGAAGACCCTGAAAATGTTGCAGTTGTAGCAGTATCAGCTGGGCTGAAAGCCCATAAAGCTGGTCCAATTGAGAAAATAAAATTTAAGGAGATTCTGAAGCGTAAAGGTGGTCTCAAAGAATATTTGGATTGCAGGTATTTAAGCTTTAAAACAGGCCTTTACATTTTCTTCAATTGTGCTTTTTTTCCAAGTGTTCTAAAAGGTTGCAGTTTTCCCTTTGCAATGCTGAGTTTTATTTCTTCAATATTTTGGGTGTTTTGTGTCTTGTGCTTCTAATATAGAGAACTGTTTTTTATCCTTTGTGACTGGTGATTGAATGCATTCATTACGTTGTTTTACTTGCTTAACCATGAAAATTAGGATATTGAAGTCTTGCTGTATGTTTCTGGTTTTAGATTCACTTGTTAATTGTGCAGATGAGCAACTTGTTAGTGGTCATTGGAAAAGAAAATAAAGGGAAAGATAAACACAATAACACATACATTTGGTTAGATGCCTTTTTGTTGGTTTAATTTTCTTTCTCTTTGGCCATGCTCTGGTTCTGAATTTGATGTTTGTGTTTTATTGTTCTGGGCAAGGGCCTTCCTCCTGTTTTTGCTTGGAACTGGAAAACTTTATGATGCCTACACCCTATAAACAATTTGGACTGAATTTATCTCCTTTTTTTCATATGGAAATGGATGATTAATTGTATATTACGTTGCTGTGTTTTCCTTTCCTCTGCACAGTGATTTTATTTCTTATAGGTCATGACATCACCATCCCTATCCTCTTCTATCTGCTTAAAATTTTTTTTCACAGTAGCTTTTCATAGACAAAATTAAGTAGACTTCATCACTTTTTTCCCCTTCTATATTTAAAAATGTTTTGCTGACAGGACTGTCAATCGTGGATACATCTACCGTCATACACAGTCTGCTACCCTTAACTACTGTAACTTGTTTTATTCAGAAGTTGGCTGTAATTTTGCTTAACATTTTACTTGTTATGCAACATCACAATATCATCGTCATTCGTTTTTCTTGATAAGCTGCTATCTCCTGACTTCTTTTGGTGATGGGATTTAGTTTTTTTTTTTTTTTTTATTCCCTTTATATGCTTCAGATTCTCTTTCAAAAATCTGTAAAACGGTGGTCTTAGAACCTTCAATATGAGCATATAGCATAAGCCAAGTCATTGAATCACTATTCAAATTGTGAATCGTTGAGGCTAATTTTTCGAATCTTGAATTGTTAATCTATTGATTCGTAACATTCAAAATCTCGATAAAAATGACTTTAAATATTGTCATAAATAATTTATTAAATGTATAGTGCTCAATATAGGAATATAAAACAAAATCATAAGTCAGTATATCAAAACGGAAAATGAATATTGAAGTTTGAAATGGAAAATCATAAGTGCTCAATTTTGAAATTTGGGAGAATGACTGTCTTTGAACAGTTTAAATAGAAAGAAAAATTATGATATTTTCAGTATATCGAAATTGAAAATGAAACCACCTAGGCATCCAATCACTCACTGACTATAATTAATATATGTTAATTCCAAAACATAGAATAAAATGGTGCCTTCACAACTTCTGTTTTATAAAACCGACAAAGGACTGAATCTGCCTTGGGTCATCGTTTCTGGTGCCATTTTTTATTGGAATCACATGATTCAGGCAATTCAAGCCACGTTCTAATTCACAACTTGATTCATATCATTCGAGATATGAATCATATTGACTCATGTTTCACTATTCGAACAGTACAATTTCTATAACTATGGCAGCAGCTTCATAGGTGCTATGTTACTTATTACTTAAACTGGGATATGCTGTATACTATACTTTCATTTCAGTATTTTATATACAGCTTTTAATTTCAGGATTAAAAATTTGTATTGTGATTATTTATTGTTATTTAGGGATTTTATTCTGTTTTGGATTATCTTACTCAAGCTTAGAACAGGAATAACTTTTTAGGGTCTTTGGGAAATGTTGGTCTTTAAATAGTTCTTCAGTGTTTGCTTTTGAGACATCTATTATTATTTGATATTGAGTTTTCTTAATTCAAGTAGTATATGATATTTGATTTGGAGGAATGCTTTGTCGTAGAAGAGTCCTAGGTTTATCAAGGAAATATCTTGCCTAGAGGAGTATTCTTGATTGTTCTACATCACTTTGTTAAACCTCTTTAAAACTAGGAAGCCTATTGTAATAAGTTTTGCCTCGTTTATTTTAATGCATTGCAGAAATCAGATTTTAAGTCTTTGGAGCAGAGATGTCACGCGTATTTTGCCTCTTGCTGAATGCGGAGTTAGTGATACTCATTCTGAGGATGAAAGTCCTCGTACTTCTCTGATGAGGGATGTCTATGCATTTCTTGATCAATATGTAAGTTTATTCATTAGGATATAGCCATCTGTTTTCAATTCATTTCCTTATCTTTTTTCACTAAATATATGGATGCATATTTAGTGTGTCAATTCAGCTTATTTTAAAGAAATAATCTGTTATGAAACATAGGCTTACTGAGTTTTAATTAATTTTCTTGGCAAATAAAATAAACAGTATATCAGTGTTTATTTGCTGGTAAAATTGGAACTTTAAGTTATGAGATCATTTTGGCAGGGTTATATAAATGTTGGAATTGCCTCTCAGAAGGAAAATGTTGAAAGTGGAGCAAGGCATTGTTATAAACTGGTTAAAGAAAAAGGTTTTGCAGAAAGTTCTGCTGCTTCCATGGCTGATTCTGAAGATGGAGTTTCCTTTATCGTTGGCCAGACTAAAATGTCAGATCCTTCCAATGAGATTAACAATGGTCTATCTAAGGATTATGATGAGCTTGCTACTGAAGCTACAGAAGGCATGGGGCATGTTAACGAAGCAATAATGGATTTAGCAAACATGACACAGCAGGAGGAAAGTAAAAAATATGCTTACCAGGAAAATGATGGCATTCAGGATGGAGCCATCCCTGTCAAGGTTGACAGTTCTGTTCCTTCTTCCAAGTTTCCTGATTGCAGATTGACTTCTCTGGTAGCGACAGAGAGAAACAATGAATCTACCTGTATTAAATCTGCCTTGTGTGATCAGATAGCTGATCATCTGCAGTCTGATTTAGAGCCTAGAAAGAGAGTAATTGTTATTGGAGCAGGCCCTGCTGGGCTAACTGCTGCTCGTCACTTGCAGCGTCAGGGATTTCCTGTAACTGTACTTGAAGCTAGGAGTAGGATAGGAGGTCGTGTATTTACTGATTGTTCATCTCTTTCTGTCCCTGTGGATCTTGGTGCTAGCATTATAACTGGTGTTGAGGCTGATGTGGCCACTGAGAGAAGACCAGATCCTTCCTCATTGGTTTGTGCTCAGTTGGGCCTTGAGTTGACAGTGTTAAACAGTGACTGCCCTCTTTATGACATAGTGACAGGAGAAAAAGTCCCTGCCGATATGGATGAAGTGTTGGAAGCTGAATACAATAGTCTTCTTGATGATATGGTATTGGTTATGGCTCAGAAAGGTGAACAAGCAATGAGAATGTCTCTTGAAGATGGTTTAGAATATGCCCTGAAGATTCGCCGCATGGCACGCTCTGAAAGCAGTGAAGAAACTGAACAAAAAATTTCTGCCAATAGTCCATCCAATTCCAAAAAGGACAGTACCATGGAACAAAAATTAGATGAGGAGATCTTGAGTCCTCAAGAGAGGAGGGTTATGGATTGGCACTTTGCTCATTTAGAATATGGTTGTGCTGCTTTGCTTAAGGAAGTTTCTCTTCCCTACTGGAATCAAGATGATGTGTATGGAGGGTTTGGGGGAGCTCATTGTATGATCAAAGGGGGTTACAGCAATGTTGTTGAGTCTCTGGGAGAAGGACTCACTATTCACTTGGACCATGTCGTAACAAATGTGTCATATGGTATTAAGGAACCTGGCCAGAGTAACAAAGTCAAAGTTTCTACATCGAATGGGAATGAGTTCTTTGGAGATGCTGTCCTAATTACTGTTCCACTTGGCTGTTTGAAGGCTGAAACTATACAATTCTCCCCACCTTTGCCACAGTGGAAATGTTCTTCTGTTCAACGTCTTGGTTTTGGAGTTCTCAACAAAGTGGTTTTGGAGTTTCCTAGTGTGTTTTGGGATGATGCTGTGGACTACTTTGGGGCAACGGCTGAGGAGAGAAGAAAAAGAGGTCACTGCTTTATGTTCTGGAATGTCAGGAAAACAGTTGGGGCTCCTGTCCTTATAGCATTAGTGGTTGGTAGGGCAGCTATAGATGGTCAAAGTTTAAGTTCTTCTGATCATGTCAACCATGCATTGAAGGTTCTTCGTAAACTTTTTGGGGAGGCTTCAGTTCCTGATCCTGTTGCATATGTTGTGACTGATTGGGGCAGGGATCCTTTTAGCTATGGTGCTTACTCTTACGTTGCTGTTGGAGCATCGGGAGAAGACTATGATATATTAGGGAAACCGGTTGATAGCTGCTTGTTTTTTGCTGGTGAAGCAACCTGCAAAGAGCACCCTGATACTGTTGGTGGTGCAATGATGAGTGGACTACGGGAGGCTGTTCGCATTATTGACATATTGAACACTGGAAATGATCATATTGCTGAGGTGGAGGCTTTGGAAGCTGCACGGGGACAGCTAGACACAGAAAGGGATGAAGTTAGGGATATAATAAAGAGACTTGATGCAGTAGAGCTTTCTAACATAATGTACAAGAACTCTTTAGATGGCGCTCAAATTTTTACTAGGGAAGCTTTGTTAAGGGAAATGTTCTTCAATGCAAAAAGCACTGCTGGGCGCTTGCACGTGGCCAAACAATTGCTAACTCTTCCTGTTGGAAGCTTGAAGTCTTTTGCTGGAAGTAAAGAGGGGCTAACCATTCTCAATTCATGGATACTGGTATTATATCACTTGATGCATTATTTCCAAGTTTTTCTATGTCTTTTTTTTTATAGTACATCCACTTTTACTATTAGAAAGATAAGCATCTTAATCTTGCAGTTATAGAATTTCTTAGATTATGTCCTTCATAGTTCATATCTCAACGTAGGACTCAATGGGGAAGGATGGTACCCAACTCTTGAGGCATTGCTTGCGTCTTCTTGTGCGTGTTTCAACCGATTTACTTGCTGTACGCTTATCAGGTGGCTATTTATTATTTATTGTTTGATTGCTGGAATTTACAATACACATACAAATGTGTGAATTTATGTTTTTTTATTTGGGTGCTGTATCTTATCTAAATATTTAAGGTAGAAATAGCTGGTTAACTGGATGTTACCTGGTTTGGGTGAGATAAGAATAAATATTTCCAGTACCATTGTATATAAGATATACTTTTAGAATAATGTCAAATACAGTTTATCTCTTTCTTATGATTTTCGATTCATATCATGTATGAATTGTCAAGTAGAAGATATATTTATGCTCCTGTAGATTATTCTGCTGAGACAGAGTCATGAGGAAATAAGTCTACGGTTTCCCTTGATTATTTATTATTGTTGTTGGGTGTAGGAATGGGGAAAACAGTCAAGGAAAAAGTTTGTGTACATACTAGCCGTGATATCCGTGCTATAGCAAGCCAGTTGGTCAATGTATGGCTTGAAGTTTTCCGCAAGGAAAAGGCTTCTAATGGTGGATTAAAATTTTCAAGACAAACAACTTTAATAGATTTATCAAAGAGAAAATCTGTTAAAGATTCAGCCTTGGGAAAGCCACCTCTGAGCACACATCATACTGCCATTGAGAATAAAGGAGGCTTGCTGAATCCTGCATCTGCTGGAAGCAATTCACCTTCCACTGCACATGTGAAGAAATTGCACAACAAACAAGGAAGACAACAAGCAACATATGACTCAAGGCATGAGGTCAGTTCTTCCAGGTCCAGAGATTCGATAGACATAGTAGTTACTGAGAAGGAAGATAACCACCATGCTATATCTGAGGAAGAACAGGCTGCTATAGCTGCTGCAGAAGCTGCCCGTGCTAAAGCTCTTGCTGCTGCTGAGGTTTGCTTACCTTGAAACTTTAGCTTTAATGTCATGAATTTATTGGTTGGTGTTTCTGAAGATCAGTTGATAGTCACAAGCTGAATTGTCTGATTATTATCCCTTATATCATTTTGCGCTATATTTCATAATATGGTGAAATTTTAGGTGCAGTTTTCTTGGCTTGACTTTGACTCAAACAAAGGTTGCAAATCTTTTTCCTCATTTCTTTAAGTGCTCTTCCTTTTACAAGTTATATTCAATATTGGCTTTTAAATAATTACATGTGAAATAGCCTATGGTCAAATTTACCATAGTAAGGCTGTATATTATTTGTATATTCTATAAAAATATAATAGCTTTTTGAAGTTTGGGAACTTTTCATTTAATGCATTTAACACTAAACTGAAGTGCATTTAGCTTTTAAGATCTTTAATGTTCTTGTGGTTCCTTCCTGGTTTGTCTATTGTCACATTGTTTTCACCATAAATCTGGGTAAATGAAGTACAAAACCTTCAAGAGAGGGACCATATTTCATTTGCAACTTGTGTTAAACACTTGATGTGGCATACATGTGAGACTTCAATACCTCTATAAAGTTCTTTTTGGGACAAATTTTTTAAATTTTTATTATTTGACATGTTTGATGGTACTGAACATGTGTTGAGCATTGATTCACTAGACATAATTTAGTTGTGTTTAATATGCTTATTAAATTTTCACATGCTTGTGTATTGTTACATATGAATTTATATAATTTTTAATCTTGTCTGACATCAAAAAAATTTCAAATGCAAGAGCTTGCCCAGGAGGGTTATATTTATCTATACTGTGTGGTTTCCTTGTTTTCAGATTTTCCATGTCACTGTGTTGGGCTGCTAGTGTGCATACTTCTCAGATTTGGCCAAAGGACCATTGGCTTTGTTTTCTAAATATTGCTTTCACCATTCCATCTGTGTCATCTTTATATTGGGCAGCCCATGCTCTTGTATGCTGTAATCAGTAAACTAGTTTTTTCTTTTTTTAGCAGAATTCAGCTGTTGAACTTGAATGTGTTTTTTACAAATCTATAAGCATTTTGTTTGTATTCATCTGCCCCCTTGTTTTTCTAGGGCGGTGGGATTGTAGGAAAGTGTGGATCTTCCCAGGACATTAACTAATAGAGACATTATCATTTTCTGGGAATGTATTTTCGCTTGAAATGTTCATTTTCTTGGCAAGTGCTTTAGTGACGCAAAATATCCAAATAGTATTTTACTACCTCGATAGATTCTATGCTTTCTTTCCCTTTTTGGTTTCCATGTTTGTTGAAAGATTCAGTGGTTCTTGGTCTTTGTAGGCATATGCGTCTGCAGAAGCCAGGTGCAATACACTCTTACAGCTTCCAAAGATACCCTCATTCCACAAATTTGCTAGACGTGAGCAGTATTCACAAAATGATGAGTGTGATAGTAGAAAAAAATGGACTGGTGGTGTTTTTGGAAGGCAAGATTGTATTTCTGAGATTGATTCTAGGAATTGCAGAGTTAGGGACTGGTCAGTTGATTTCTCAGCTGCTTGTGTTAACCTTGATAATTCCAGAATGCCAGTTGATAATCTTTCACAGAAGAGTCATTCAAATGAGATTGCCAGCCATTTGAATTTCAGAGAGCACTCAGGAGAAAGTGTTGCTGGGGACAGCAGTATATATACAAAAGCTTGGATTGACACGGCTGGTGGTGTTGCAATAAAAGACTATCATGCCATAGAGAGATGGCAATCACAAGCAGCTGCAGCTGATTCTTATTTTTCTAATCCAACCATTCATTTGAAGGATGAGGAGGATTCAAATGCCTGTTCAAAATTACCCAGCTGGAAACGTGAAGGTATTGCAAATGAGAGCTCTGTTTCGCATGTTACTGTAAATAAAGAGGCCTTAAAAAGCCATTCCCGAGGAGCAGATCATATTAAACAGGCAGTTGTGGACTATGTTGCTTCACTACTTATGCCCCTTTATAAGGCAAGGAAACTAGACAAGGATGGATACAAAGCTATAATGAAGAAAAGTGCAACAAAGGTAATCTTTATCCTTCACCTTGTTTTTCTTGTTTTCTATTTGCTAAGTTGAAAGTGTTACTGAGATTTGGTAGGTAGGAGGTTACAGGGAATAACTAATCTAGAACATCACTTAAGTGAAATAAGGGCTTCTTCCATTTCTTAACTTTCTGGGTATAAGTTTCAGGTCATGGAGCAAGCTACAGATGCAGAAAAAGCCATGACTGTTCATGAATTTCTAGATTTCAAGCGAAAGAATAAGGTAATTTTGTTATTTTCCATATCATAGGTCGATCACTTAACCTGTGGCACATCTCCTGCAAAATACATTCCTCCAGAATGTTATTCATGTTACTCATGTTGACATGATTTGATTTACTGCATGGATGCCAGTGGGGGGGGTGGGATTAGCTGCAAAATAAATCGATTATTTATTTTGTATTTTCTCTTTTTATGATTGTTGAGCTATTGAAGTCTTTAACGTGCTTCTGGCATTTTTTTTTAACTATATATTTTTTCTCACTAGCTTTAGTTGGATGCCTGTCATGCAGATTCGATCCTTTGTTGATATATTGATTGAGAGACACATGGCAACAAAGCCTGATGTGAAATCTTGATGCGTTGGATGGAATGGCCTGTACTTTGTTGTAAGGGTGGCCAAAGTTTGGTTCTTCCTACTTAAGTTCTCACAGTTTTGGTGGCAATGGGCATGTCTTGTATGAGCACTTCAATCTACCTGTGTAAATGATCTAGAGGTGCAATTAAAAAGACTAATAAAACTTGATCGATTCAAATCAAGTGGACTCTGGAAATTCCTTGTCCTAGCAGCCTTGGACAGAATACTAAATACTACTGGTGGATTACCAGTAAATTGGCAGGTTTGAAGGTGACAGCAGGTTGCATTCATCTATCGGTTAATATATCGTCTTTCATTGAGGTTCATACCTCCGAGGATTGAAAACATAGGCCCCATTTTTATTAAAGGGGTTTCTGAAGGGCAAGACATTAAATGACTTTATCAATTTCTTCTATTTGTACAGCTTAGGATTGTTCTAGTGATGACAAACATACATATCCATTTTCAATGTCCTAGAAACATTTTTCTTATTTAACATCATTTACTAACTTTTTTGTTTTTCATTCTCCAAAATGGGGAAAGAATTAATGCCAGCTTTTGTAAGATACTTGGTTACTCCAAGCATTTTCTCCTTCCATTCCCTTGTGTGTTCTGTGTTGCACCCCGTCTGAGCACTCTGTCTATCTATAGTTGAGTCAGCTTCGAAGTGTGTACTTATAATTAAATAGAAACGTCGCATTCTTGGCAAATGAGCCCTTCTATTTAGATATAATTATGCTTCAAAGGATTGCGCCATGGGATGCCCAACAGCCAAAGTCTTTTGAATTGTTGAGTATAATCCGTTGGTCAGTGTTCTGTGTTGGCCATTCTCCCATTCTCCTTTGCTAATTATTGCTTACACCTCTTTCTATGGTTGCTAGGCCGATAAAGATTTTTGCAACTCTTGCCTTCACAGCCAATTTTCAGGTGCTTTCTGTTTTCTTAATTTTATGACCTTTCTAACAATACCCCACTTGGTGTTGAGCCGGATGGCCTTGTTATGATTCAATTGCTTTTTGTTTCTGCTGCAGACTGTCTTCATGCCAGCAATATGAAATATTGGATTAGAAAATATCGCTGCCAGGGAAATTAAATTCCACTGGGTGTATCTAGGGGTGAGTACATTTTGTCTTGGCATTGCAGGCAGTTTTTATGTTCCACTCAATCTTCAAGCTTATGAATTTCTCTTCATATTGGTTGCACATACTGTAAATATTGGTTGTTGACAATTTCTGTGATGCTTACAAAGTTATATTTTTTGATATGCTACGGCTTCAAGATTGTAATATTCAATTCATTTGTTTTCTTGTATCATCTTGTTATAACGGTTTCGGCTTTATGTTGCAGAGTTTGATGATGCTTTATATTCTCATTCGATAGAGGTTGATATTTGGTAAATGCCTTCCCACCTCCTCCCTCTCTCTCTCTCCAATATAAAAATAGAAATAGAGTATTAAGTGATATCATGTAATATATTTGGAGTTGCCCAAGGTTGAAAATATTACCCTCTCAGTATTGATCTTTGTGCATAACGCAATATATCAAACGCGTCGGTTGCTATTACTATGCTTCGTAACTCTGTTTTGTTCAACTATCCAACATGAATCTCAACCGTGTTGCAATTCATTTATGATTTGGTAGATTACTAACTTAAAAAATTCAAACTACGTCGAAATCGAACTTAAAAAATTATTATTGTAATTTTTATTTTTTTTTAAAATATAATATTAAATAACCAAAAATATAATTTCATAATATATATTAATATCATTTTCAAAAAATCAAAATTATATTAAATAATATAATAAGAAAAACAAAAATATTATTTATTATCTTAAATATGTAAAATAAATTCTAATAAAAATGTAAACATAATTAAAATAATAAAACTTATTTTATTATATATAATTAACAAAATATTTATAAATATTTATTAGAATAACATATTCTCAATATTTATTTTAACAAAATATAAATATATAAATATAATTTTAATAATAATATTTATTTTATTATATAAAAATATAAAACAAAATTTAAAAACGAAAAAAAAATCAAGTCTCTAAAAACTAAATTTTGAGTGACAAGATTTTGCTACAATGTTTGAGTCTATTTGAATAAATAAATTGCTTTAGAGTCTATTTCTGTAATTTTTAATAGTTTTTCTGTAAAAATTTCTATTATCATGAGCATACTTTTAAGAAAAAAATTTCAAATTAAATTATATTAATTTAAATTCTCTTTAGAAAAAATTAACTTTATAAAATCAAGTTCATTAAAACTTAAATATACAAACACTAATTTTTTTGGGGCATCCACGATTATATTTCAAACTCGATTAGTTATCGAGTGAAATAACATCAGTAGACGGGCCAGTTTAAAAAAATAATAATTTAGTAATGAATGATTAAGAGTAATTTACTTGGAGGATTTGTTCGTTTATAAAAGGATAGCAACTAAATTTTGAAGAGTGTGCGTCATTGCCCACGTAAGCAGATGTTTGTGGCACATTCTTATTCTTCTTCCTCTTCCGTGTGATGAAAACGGTCTTTCAATTATTTCCAACTTCGCGGGTCCTCTTTTGTTTTCTGCTACGTCTTATTAGTCAAAACCCCATTCCATTTCACTACTCTGCTTTCTGTTTCATTGTTCTGATCGTATTCATTACTAACTCATCAACACAATAGCGCTGTTCGAAATTCGAAAACAGAGACAATTAATAAGTTAGTTATTTCATGAACACAATTCGGTCTCGTTGGTTAACGAGAATGGCAGAAGACATCGGAAAAAGCAACCTGGAATCCTCTTCTGCTACGCCTCGTTTCTGGCCTTCTCTCTTACGTTGGATCCCCACTTCCACCGACCACATTATCAATGCTGAGAAGCGCCTTCTTTCTCTTGTCAAGTACCCATTTCACTAACCCTAAATTAAAAATTCCCCTTCCAATATCTGAAATTACAAATTGATATTGCATATGTAGAATTGTGAATTTGTGACTTTTTTTTGTAGGACTCCGTATGTTCAAGAACAGGTTAATATAGGTTGTGGTCCACCCGAGTCAAGGGTTAGATGGTTCTGTTCATCGAGCAATGAGCCACGGTTTATTAACACTGTTACATTTGATAGTAAGGATGATTCTCCTACGCTTGTAATGGTTCACGGCTACGCAGCGTCTCAGGGTTTCTTTTTCCGCAATTTTGATGCCCTTTCCTCTCGTTTCAGAGTCGTTGCTATTGATCAACTTGGGTGAGCAAGCTTTACTTCTCTTCGTCCAATTTCAAGTGTTTTCTGCCTACTCATTCATTTTACACCTTTTTTGTTGCAGTTGGGGAGGATCTAGCAGGCCTGACTTTACATGCACAAGCACCGAAGGTCAATGCCCGAGTTAATTTGGATTTGGGAATGTTTAATGTTGTTGCTTAACTTGAAAGTTACTGTGGCAAAATGCTAAATTTCTTCTTGGTGCTACAGAAACTGAGGCATGGTTCATTGATTCTTTTGAGGAGTGGAGAAAGGCCAAAAACTTGAGCAATTTTATATTACTTGGGCATTCTTTTGGTGGTTATGTTGCTTCCAAATACGCACTTAAGGTGAATTTCTTTCTGCATTGGTTTGAAAATTGAAATGACTTGGGCATTCTTTTCAAATTAATTATTATTCTGATGTATATCTTAAAACTTGTATATAGCACCCTGAGCATGTAAAGCACTTGATTCTGGTGGGGCCTGCTGGATTTTCGTCAGAATCAGAAAGAATTACAAAGTTCTTATCAACATGGAAAGGATCAATCTTGAACCAGATATGGGAATCTAATTTTACACCTCAGAAAATCGTCAGGTAGAATTGTGGTATCCATATTTTTTTCCATCCTCTTCTATGTATAATTTATCATTTTTCTTAAATGAGAGTGTAGGTTGCCTTGAGATCTTTGTGTTTTTTCGGTTAAACTATGATTATGTATAGAAGCAAAGCAACGAAAATGAAAGGTATGGAGAAATCAGAAAATAAAAACTATTCCATTGTTATTTCAGTTCTTTTGCCTGCCTTGGTGTACTACGTGAGAAATGATCTACAAATGATTGGGTTTCAAAAATTTGTTTTGATTACTGTTTATGATTATGGATTATAATGTTGTGGTGGCCCCTGGATGCACGAACACCCTAATCTTAAAAATCTTTTCAAATTAGTTGTCATGGAAATGAAAGTTCATATTTAATGATAATATGCACAATATATTTATTTACACTTTCACGTTAGTATTTCTGATTCATTGCCTTTAATATCTCTTCTAATGGCGTTGTTATTGAGTTAAATAGACAAGCAAATTGAGTTAAATTCATATTGTCCCTTTATTGAATGACGGGTGGTGTTAAATATTATTCCTAAGTCGAAGATGAAATCATTTTTTATGGAACTTTTTGTTCAGTCTAGTTACTGGCATATGGAGTCTTTTACTGGGGATGCAAACCATGCATCGGTAATATTCCTATCAAATATGTTGGGTGGCAGTTTGTTGTGAAGAGGGGGTTTGGGGTTCTGATTCCTGATTCCTGATTAATTGAAGGAAGTATAAGTGCATTTTTTATTATTATTATTTTTTGGCTGTACCAATCATTCTTTTTTATTAGTGATTTTTTCAATACATTAAACATTTGTTTATATAGTATTGCCTCTGTTTGATATTTTTCTACATATTTTTTATGGCAGAGGTTTAGGTCCTTGGGGTCCTGATATGGTCCGTAAATATACAAGTGCCAGGTTTGTTACTCATACAACTGGGGAAATGCTGACAGAATCTGAATCGAGATTACTGACAGGTATGATGACATCAGATAACCTTTTAATACATGGTTTAGATGTAAAGTGAATTTTTTTTAGTAGCGTAAGGGTATATATCTATGGGTTGCTTTTTTGCTATTGCAGATTATGTTTACCATACTTTAGCAGCCAAAGCTAGTGGTGAGCTGTGCTTAAAATATTTATTTTCATTTGGAGCACTCCCGAGGTCACCTCTTCTTCACAGGTTTGGTGATCATTCTCCCGATGTGTTGATAAATGCATTAACAATTCATTTCTGCACTTCTACTTCAAGACAAAGTTTGTCTTTAACTGAATGGTTGTTATTAGTAAAACGATGTATTCTGATGCCAAATGATAATTACTTCTAGTATACAATGATCTTCATATATCTTTCCTTTTATTATTCTATTTATGATGCAAAATCAGTATACGCTTCTTCAGACACACAGTTTTGGTTAAAAAGTACTTGTTTAGTATCCAATCCTGAGGCCAGCTTGGTCCAAAAATGAGTGTTGTTCTCTCATGCTAACTTGATATGAAACTGTCATGAAGAAATTAAAATAAAGACGATATGTGTTTTATCCTGTCTGATAAGAGGGAACAAAGAATGAAAGAGATAACTAGAAAAATGAGTGAAGATTGTAACATAAATGATGGTATGTATGTAATGGTGATAACAATCATAATCCGTGTTGTCGAATTAAACGATTTTAAATTGAATTTCATAAAACAAAAATGAAATCATTAAGGCACAAATAGAAATTGAAAAAAAAGAAAATTAGTAAAAGTAGAAATAAAAAAGAGATGAAAATGACGTTACTTTCGTAAAATTAATAAGCTAAAGAACAATTGTCACAAAAATCTTGACCTCTTGATAAGATTAAGAAAAATTGGCTCACTTAAGAACATAGAGTCACATGCTTTTACAAGAGTATTCAATTTCAAATTATGTTCAAAACTAATTAAAAGTGTGTATACAAGAACATATATATGTCTAACCCTCGTAAATGAATACAAACATAACCCTAACGGGCTTCTTGTGACAACAAATTCAAATTTAAATAAACTAAATAAAATAACAAGATATTTTATTCTAAATAAAAATTTAAAATAAGTAATGAGTAGTATTAAAATAAATAAACTAAATATAGTAATTAAATCTTAATGGAATATATTGGAATACAAGTTCTCTCAGAATATGTAATTGACCATTTTGAGATCTTTTAACTCTAAATTGGACTCTCTTTTAAATAGGATTGGACTCTCTTTTAAATAGGACAACAACTATTTTTTTTAAGTTTTTTTTTTTTTGTCTTTGTTTTTGTTAGTAGTCCTTGAAGTTATTTCAATGCTTTTAAGCCTTTGTTTTTAATGTGCCTTCTTTCATTCTCATTAGATGGACTACCTTTTGGACTTATAGTTCATCAATGTGTAGTTGAAGTCGTAGCATTGGTGGGTTGATTCAAGTTTTTATATATGATGAAGGACAACTTGTTTTATAAGTGCATAGTTCATTTTTGGTTGCTGTATTGAAGCCTGTTTCTTCGGAACCAAAAACAATTTTGGCAAATGTCCAACTAGCATTTAACTGAATAGAAAAACGGAAGGTTACTCCGAGAAAAAATTGAGAACGAGACAATAAGGCAAATTGAAGCGTTCTATGATTTGAAAATTCTTTGTAAATATCCAAAACTCTTAATTTTTTGGTAAACAATATCCAAAATTCTAAACTTGTGAAGGTTTGACCACGGACTATGACTATGGAAAGCCTAGGTCATGTGAAAGACTTTATTTCTGTATTGGTTCAAATTATTCACTCCTCTTGTACTTGATTTACTACACATGTACTTTTGTCTTGACAGTGAATTTTTAACCTCCATTTTTCTCTCTGGTTTCACAGTGCCTCAGAGTGGAAGGTCCCCACCACTTTCATTTATGGTTTTCAGGACTGGATGAATTATGAAGGGGCCCAAGAAGCTCGCAAGCATATGAAGGTTCCATGTGAAATCATTAGGGTTCCCCAGGTAATACTTTCTCCATTTCATTTCCCTACACAGTGAAGCCACTGCGATATTTTATTTGTATTAACAAAACTTCATTACATGTTGTAGGCCGGGCATTTTGTGTTCATTGACAACCCAACTGGTTTCCATTCAGCTGTGTTTTATGCTTGTCGAAGGTTTTTTTAGACCTGATCCCGACAGTGAATCCCTTCCTGAAGGGCTAACCTCTGCATAGAGTGTAATTTTGTATTCTTTTTATCAATTAAATTCCATTATTAAATCAAGCCAGGTCCTAGTCACGCTTAAATGAAATTTACAATTGCAAGTGCAATTCAAAGAATAAACGATCTGTAATATAAATTTGTTTACTAAAACGTGTAATTAAAACTTGTTATTAGATATTTTTTTTGTTACGAATGGAAATTTCAAATCAACTACGTTATAAACACAAACTCTGTGTTTATGTGTGCATGTATATTTCAAGGATACATTTTGGATAAAATGTGCACTTGTAATGTTAAGAAAATTAATGAAATTTATTTCAGCAACATAATATAATTTATATATGCATGTATTATGCTATAGCTTTGGTCGATTATTTTTCAATTATGGTTGCAACCTTGCATTGGTTTTTTTTTTTTTTTTTTTGTGCTTTGTATGAAGAAAGAAAACAACAAATAAAAAATAAAGAAAAAAATAAAGAGAAGATGAAATGAAAGAGAAAAATCTATTTTTTTTTCGCTATTGTTTGTTTATTATTTGGATAAACATACAAGGAGAAAAAAAAGAGTCATCATAGCAGTATTACCTGACTAAAATATGATTATTTTTAGTAGAGAATACACATGATTTATAAATATATATATATATATATATAATTTAGTTAAATAATATTTAAATGATTATAATGTAATGAAATAGAATGAAAATAAAAATATATTTATGATTTGTTCTAATTTTTCCTCTTTTCACAATTTTCTTTGCTCTTTTAGAGAGGTTCTTCAATATCTTTCCATTTCGAAGTGTTGCAAATGAGAGGGAAAAATGTTTGAGGAATACAGTCTTGATTGAATGCCCTCCAAAATGTAATGAAACCGAATTTTTTTTATACTCTTAGAGTATGTATTCCTTTTTATTATATCGAAATATCAACCTATGTTTGATAAGTTTTTTTTTTAAATTTAATTTTTTTAAAATTAAAATCAAAGAAAATGTAACCTAATAAACAAACGAAACTACAAAGCAATAAAAAAAAATCGTTTCATCCAAACAACAAAAGGACACTCTTCGAACTTCGTTAACAGTATATTTAGTTTTATGTAAAGATACAGTTTGAGTATACATTTATTTGAATGCTATTATTTATAATTTCTGTATTAACTTTACATTTACATGCTTTCTAAGCACGCAATAATTTCAGTTTTAGCTTACGGAGTGTTAAATGAAAACTATGATAATTAATTCCTTTCAAAAGATATTCTTACACTAATTAATTCCTCTCAAGAAGCACTTTTTATTATTAAAAGATAATATAGGCAGTTATTATGTTAAAAATAGTGTTATTAGTTTTTACTTTTTACATATTCAGAATAATATAATTATCGATTTCTTTCCTGCACTTCCCAACGCACAGAAAGCACATGGAACTGCCACTGAACTTAAATTTGACGGGGACGCATCTGCGAATTGTGGGGACCAAATTCAATTATACTTTTATTATCTCTCAGAACAAATTTAACTTTTATTATCTCTTGGGACAAATTTACAAGCACTTGACATTAATGCAGCTTTTAATTATTTTGGCTATGCAATATTTACACCCTATTCAATTTATTCACACAAACATCACCTTCTTACTGCCACTGAATAGGACCTTTTATAATTCCCCCCCTCAGATGGAATATCGACATTTACTGATAGGACCCATTTATAATATCACACACATCCTTCGTGCAAAGAGATAACTGCTTCACAAAACTATTCCACATTACATAAATCACCACTTCCAATACACACCCACTGTTTAAACCGTGTGCATTTGGAAAACTCAGCCTCGAAATTTTCACTGTTTCTCATATTAAAAAAGATGCATGCTTAAAACGGAATGGTTTATGTAAGAACCAAACATATTGTTTTACAGTTAGTCTGTTAAAAACGACTGCTTGATTTTATAATATACATGTTTATCAAATTATTTTATACATGCATATTTTTTGTTATTTGATTACAGTTAATCGTATGATCATATGCCATCCTAAAACTACTCTTTTATTTCTTTACACAAATTCAAATTCGGGGCGCATGAATGATCTCTCATCAAATTAACACCAACAGTGTAAATATATTATCATGACGTGTACGTAGCATAATTGAATTGAAAAACGACAGATTCATGGATTCTCTCACCCCTTCCCATTTTCCGATGAGTCTGCCTATAGAAAGAGAATTCCCACACGAACAGGGAAACCCCTGTACGAAATTTATGAAATATTCATTTCAAATTATCATACTTTATGCACTTCATAGTTCGGATTATAAAAATAAAAGTATAGAAGTAACATTTATTCTAAAATATAAAAAACACAGCTTATTAAATAATATTTTAGTAAATATAGATAAAAAAAAGTTTATCAAACAGTTGTGCTTGTGCTGCATGAAAGCACGATAAGTTTCGAAACGACATATTCGTCAAACTGTTTCCACAACGAGCTCCTTAATAACGGTCACTTTCCACGACCCTCCAAGCTCGACACGTGGCAACATAATCTGGTAATAGATTTTATTCTTTTGGCGGGAAAACAACCTTTTAGTTTTAGGTTTTCTCGTGAACGCAACTTCAGAACTGTAGTCAAAGTCAAAGCCCCATCGCTTCGTCACCATCAACAACAGTAAAACAACGAAACTAACAACCGCTTTTTGATAAAACCAAAATAATAATAATAATTTAACACAATAGAAATTAACAACAAATCAAATTCCACGTAAATTACAAAGAAACAATGATTAGTTTTTTTGTTTGTAATCAAACAGGGGAAGGTAGTGTTGTGAGATCAGCAGAAGAAGGGATCTCGGGTCCGACACGACAACCTTGGAGCATGAAAACGACATCGTTCATGGATGGTCGATGAAGAGGATCAGGTGTCGTACAAAGAAGACCCACTTTGATACCCAACAAAAACTCTTCCCATTCGGAAGACTCAGGATCCAAATCGAACAACCCAGGTTCCAACAACTCCGAAATTTCCCCTCTTTGCAATTGCTTCTTCACCCACTTCACTATATCTTCATCTTGCGTGAACATCACCGCTTTTTTCCCTGTTAGTATCTCCAACAACACAATACCATAACTGTACACGTCACCTTCCTTCGTAGCTTGACCGGTCAATGCTGCTTCCGGTGACACATACCCTAATGAACCAATTGGTGTCGATGATGATGATGCTTCAAATGGGGTTGCTATGGTTAACTTTTCTAACCCAAATTCAGATAAATGGGCTTCAAAATCTGCATCAAAGAGAACATTTTGAGGCTTCACGTCACCATGAACTATTGGCACCGAGTGCAAGAAAGCCAAGCCACGAGCAATTCCTAGTGCTATGAGATGACGCATTGGCCAATTCAGCACGTGCCCATCTTGTTGTGAAGCCTCTTGAAGCAGTGTTCCAAGGTTCCCATTGGGCATGTAGTCGTAAACAAGGAGCCTCACATCATGTGATCCTGCATAGTAACCGCGTAGAACTGTTAAATTTCGGTGCTTCACTTTGCCTAATGATTCTGCTTCTTTGCGGAACGTGGCCTCATTGATGAATCCATCGTGTAAACGACGAATGGAGAGAACCATGCCATCTTGGTATGAGGCTTTGAACACAAGACCGTGTTTTCCCCTACTTAACACGTTTTCTTCATCAAAGTTTCTCGTTGCTTCTAATGTCTCTGCATAAGTGATTTTGCCGTTGAACATTACTAGTTTTGGTCCTCCATTTTCACTACTCCCTCTTCCTTTATCTCCTCCTGAACTTGCACTAGTGGGGCTTCTTTTTTTCTGTGTTGTTACCCCTTCTCTAAGCTTCGTGCGCCACCTTAATAAGCTGAAAATGTAGCCACAGCAACACAGCAACAAAAAGAATGTTCCGCCTAATGCCACGCCTATGAATATTATCAACCGTTTTCTCCTTCTCCTTCTCACATTTGCACATTCTCTATGTAAAGGTTTTCCACATAACCCTTGGTTCATGGCAAACACAGAAGGGTCATTGAATCGAGAACCAAGAAGTTGTGGAATCTCACCCTCGAGATTATTATTGGATAGATTCAAATACTTCAAACTTGAAATGCGTGAAAGATTAACTGGAATTTCTCCGTTGAGTTGGTTTGAAGAAAGATCCAATGCCACCAGGTTTGAGAGCTTTGACAAGGATTCTGGTATGTGACCATTCAAGTGATTGGCATCCAACGAGAGTGAAGTCAAAGCAGAACAAAGTGAAATTTCATTTGGGATGTTTCTTGTTAATCTATTATCTCCCAAATTAAGCTCCTTTAAACGAGAAAGGTGGGAGATTTCACTTGGAATGGTAGCATGCAAACGATTTGAATGCAACTCTAGCACTTCAAGTTGAGAACAATTACCAATCTCAGTGGGTATCTCACCAGAAACACTATTGTTTGACACTGAGAAAACAACTAACGACTGAAGAAATCCATAGGTTGTGGGAATGTTGCCAACAAAGGCATTGGATGAGAGATTGAGATACCTTAAACTAACCAAACTGCTTAAACCCTCAGGAAGAGCACCAGATAAACGGTTCTCTTGAAGTGAAAGAACCTCCAGGCTTGGCAATCCAAAAAGCTCAATTGGCAACTCACCTGAAAGCCTCTGCTTGCTAAAATCCAACACTTTTAGTTTCATCAAATTACCAAAAGTAGCAGGAACTCTTCCTGAAAACCCACACTGGCTCAAATTAAGAACCTCCAAAGCTATCATCATATTCATATTCCCAATATCAGCTAAAACTTGGTCTGAAAACCTGTTATTGCTAAGATTCAAAACACTCATGTTGCCTAATTTCATGATCTCTTGGGGTATCATCCCTGTCAGCATATTATTGCTTAAATCCAACGTCTCTAACTCAGAAAGAGTTCCATAACTCTTGGGAACGGAACCAGTAAACATGTTCCCCCCAAGAGATAACATCTTGAGACTCCTTATTTCACCAAGAAAAGAAGGAACCAAACCAGAAAACCTATTCCCCTCAAGATCAAGAACCTTCAACAACCTACATTCAACAATCTCGGAAGGAACTCTTCCAGATAATGAATTCCTAGCCAGCCTAAGCTCCTCTAACCCCAAGAGATTCCCAATATCAACCGGCAACACACCATACAAAGAGTTTCCAGAAAGATCTAGAACCCTTAACGTGGTAGCATTAAACCACAATGCAGTCATTGCAGTGCGAATGTGATTCTCTTTAAGGTCCAAAACCTCCAAGAAACTAACGCAATTTTGATTCTTTAGCTCAGGAATGCCCGTGAGCGCATTGAAGCCAAGTTGAACAATCCTCAAGTGCACATTGCAAAGCAATGAAAAGGGTACCAATCCCGAGAACCGATTCTGCATCAAAGACAAAACTTGAAGCTGCCCCATGTTTCCCGTAGAAGAAGGTATCAACCCAGTAAGAGCATTATCCACAGCACTTAGATGAATCAGCGAGGTGCAATTCGCAAGAGCCGAAGGCAGAGTCCCCTGAAGCATGTTAGAGTCTAACCACAGATACTCAAGCTTTTCCAACGCTCCAACGGTGACGGGTATTCCACCATTGAAACGATTATAAGACAAGTTAATCAGCTTTAGCTGAGAGCTGGAAGAAAAATTACCCGGCATGTAACCAGAGAAAGCGTTTGAAGACAAATCTAGGAACCGTAGAGAATTTGATATGTTGTCGGTGACAGAACCGGAGAGAGAGTTATAAGCAACGTTGAGAACTTGAAGGTTTGTGAGGTTGAGAAGTGATGAGGGAAGTTTTCCACTGAGAGAGTTGTTGTGAAGGTAAATTGCACGTAAAAGGGAACAATGTGAAAGCGAGTGAGGGATAGAGTTGTTGAAGTTGTTCGAATGGAGGCTTAGTTTGCGGAGTTGAGACAAATTCGAGAGCGAGTCACTAAGTGGACCACTGAGTTGCAGACGAGGCAAACGGAGTTCGAAAACTCGGTTTTGGTAACAGAGAATGCCACGCCAGTCACATGGAGCCGATGGCGTGGATGGGTCCCACCCTTCCAATGCGCCAAGTGGGTCGTCGAGTTTTGTTTTGAACGCTGTTAAGGCTTCCATCTCCGACATGGTGGCGCCGCATGTTAAGGTTGTCACGCCGAGGAACCACAGAAAAATAGCCGTTGTTGTTGCCATTGGTTATGGTTCGGTTTTGTTGAGAGTGTTTAAGCTTAACGTGGGTTCTGTTCTGGTGTTGGGTTTTGTTTGTTTGTATTTGCAGGAGCGTTTGGGGTTGCTTGGAGAATAGCGTGTATGTTGCTGATGACTTGATGCTCTCCTTCTCTCTCTTTCTCTCTCACTTTGGTTTTGTTGCTCTATTCCCGAAAAGGTTTGAAGCTTTTTCTTCACTTTCTTATGCAAAAAGAGCATAAGGGAGACTCGTTTTGCTTTTGATATTGTTACCCCACAATTGGGGTTTTTGGTATTTATTTATTGGATAAAGTTAATACCATATTCTGATTGCATTTACTGGATCATGTTAGGGTCACGATCCACGACGAGTTCACTGTCCTTTTGAAAGAAATTATCTATTAAAGTATTTGGAATTGAGTTGCCCACGAAGCATCCGTTAGAGACTCGCATTATTACCCTGGCTTAGCCGAAAGAAATATTATTCTTATTGTACTATTCTTTTGGTAAACTTTAGGAACCAAAGGAAAAAGAAAAAGAAAAAGTGCCACCCCTTTAGCGAATATTAAGAAATGAGAAAGCTTTATATGTATTGAATTGAATGTTCCATCATCGATTGGTTTCACGAGATATGATCCGCTTTTAGTTTAATAATAAAATTAAAATTGACTGATTAGTACATGAATCCATGAAGTAAGGGCAATGTAACAATAGATCAGAACGACGTAACAAAAGAATTTATAAAGCCCCAAACCCAATCCACGCAATCATATCAAATGGCGTCCCATGGGTCAATTCAATTAGTTTTGCATTTGGGGGCTTAAACGAATAGCGTTTGTTGTTTCCTCGCCACAGACAAAAGAGTGGCTCCATCATAAACAATGGAGTTGGAGTGTTGAATAGAGGAGCCTATTCATTCACTCCCTATCCTTTCAAGGCCCAAATCTTCGTTTCATGGGGCATTAGGCCCTCCTTTTTATGCTTTACTGTGTCCCCTCAGTCCCAAAATAATATACAGTTATATCACATCACATATATGGCATTATTTATTAAACAAATTTAATGGTACAGGTGCAAACACAAGTGATACACTACAAAGAAAATAATATAAACGAATGGAAAGGTGTTTACTTGATAACTGTCCAATTCTACACATACAAAATGAAATAATGATTCACACTCAATTATACAGCGGGCTGAAGCCAAGGATGAATGGAACACGTGTCAGCGCTGGGACAAATTGTATAGACACCATCATGCCCTTCAATAAAGCAACGAATATCATTACTCAAATGATTCAATTTTATCAAACAGCTATCTAGCGACACCAACTCCACAGCAATATTAAAACTTGGATCATAAAAAAAATGAATAATCACCCAAACCAACCCTCACCGAACTAGTTAAGATTTAACTGTACATATCGAGGAAATGCGTTTCAACTTTTTTTTTTGGACAGACACATCTATGGACTATAAAGTGTCCATTACAAAAAACAATTGCAGCCCGTTAAGTGGACCCACGTAAAAAGGTACGAGCCCAGTAAGGGGTGTAACTATTGTATCAATGTTTCAACAAAAAATGAAATTTAGACAAAAAAATAAAATGTAAAAACTACACTGCTCCCTCAATGCCTACACTAGTTAATAGCATATTGAGGAGAACGAAAATGAGTGATTGAGTTACATTTTATTCACATTATAATGATATTTACATAAAATCAAAACATTAAACGTAGAAGTGAAAAAATATAAAATAGTCGAAAACCCTTTTTCATTGCGAGGATACGATAGGAGAGAGGAGGGGTTTAAGCACTATGGAAACGGTGCTGCCTCGCATTGGCGTGGGTCTATGCACTCCGCGGCTCATACACTGTCCTACAAAACCTAACAAGTTCCATTCCTCCTCCTCCTTCGCCGGCGGCGGTGGCGGCTCTTTCTCCGCCACTTCCGCCACCAGCAAATGGGCCGAACGCCTCATCTCCGATTTCCAATTCCTCGGCGACGGCTCTTCCACCGCCACTCTGAGCCCCTCCCTCCCTCCGCGACTGGACCCTCCCGAACGCTACGTCTCGATCCCCTTGGACCTGTACCGAGTCCTCGGCGCCGAAACGCATTTCCTCGGCGATGGCATTCGCAGGGCTTATGAAGCCAAATTCTCGAAGCCTCCTCAGTACGCATTCAGCAACGACGCGTTAATTAGCCGGCGCCAAATCCTCCAAGCCGCTTGTGAAACCCTAGCCGATCCAGCTTCCAGAAGAGAGTACAATCAAGGCCTTCTCGACGACCAAGACGCTACCATTCTCACTCAAATTCCTTTCGACAAGGTAATTCATTTCATTTTCTTTTCTATTTTTGTTAATTTGTGGTTTGTTCAGTGATAATTGAAATAGCGATGTGGTTCGTAGGTTCCTGGAGCTTTGTGCGCGTTGCAGGAAGCTGGAGAGACCGAGCTTGTGCTTGATATTGGACAGGGTTTGCTTAGAGAGAGGTTACCCAAGTCGTTTAAGCAAGATGTTGTTTTGGCTATGGCACTTGCTTATGTTGATTTCTCAAGGGACGCTATGGCTTTCTCGCCACCTGATTTCATTGCGGCCTGTGAAATGCTCGAGAGGGCATTGAAGCTTTTGCAGGTGATTCACACTTGTAGAGTTGTAGTATATGGTATATATTCTGTTAGTTCCTTTTTAAATATTGTCTAAGGTAATGATAATTGATATCCTCGTTTATGTTAGAAGAGAAAGATTATGAACGAGTTGTAAAATTGCTCGAATCTTATGGGCAGTGGTTTTATTTTATTGGATATCAGCAGTTCTTACTTCTGCTTACCACCGTGGATGTTCGTTTGCGCTTAATTAGTCAAATAACCAATTTGTCATATACTTATACCAAATAGTTGTTCTCATATCCGCGAGGGCAGCTTAGTTGGCAGCACAGGCTGAAATTGTGGTAATAAACATCCACGGGGAGGGGTGAAGGAAGAGCTTTAACCGTTCCTATATCCCGAGTCTGGAATAGTTGGCACCAATTTGGCGAACGAAGTTGTTCTGATGTTACAATTATCTTTTTAACTTCTTTGATACGCAGTTTATATGGCACTGATAAGTAATATCCTTGTCTATATTAAAATTATTTTTTGAATTCCTCATGCTGGTAACCTTTTTCTTGTTTATTTCTCTTTTTAGTTACTCATTTGTTGCATTAACATTCTCTTTACCATTAGACATTAGTCTTGACTTGTTTATGATAAGTGTGTAAAATAGTTAAGAATTCGATGAAGAATAGAGAAAATAGTAATTAATGTTATGTTTAACATTTTAAATGATAGATAAATGGGAATGCAACGCCCTCTTCTAAAATGGCAATTAAAAGCTAGTGGACGGAGTAATTGAGTAGTGGAGGAACATAAGGTAGCTATAGAACACGTGTATTTAAAAATTTGTCCATTCTTTCCCTACAATTCTTTTGGGGCATGTTTTGGCACAATGGTAAAGCTGCTGCCTTGTCACTTCTATGTCACAAGTTCAAATCTTGGAACCAAACTCTCCACCTACAGGGGTTAGGTTATGTCCATCTACTATCCCTAGACCTAACTAGGTGGGAACATTGTAAGTTGGGTCTCCCTTTTATTCTTTCAATACAATTTTGCACTCCAATTTAGGCTTTGGTCATGTTGATGCTGTTATAAACCAATTTGGTTCTGTTGTAGGATAAAGCATGTAAGAAGCAAGCGATTGTGTCTTTGTATAGATGATAATGATCTTAGAAGGTGAAGTTTGAATGAAAAGGATTTACAAAAAAATGTTACAATTTTCTTTTTTTGCTTTGTAATTATTGTGCAGTAACTTGATGCCTATATGACATAACTTGAATTCTTTTATGTTGTAGTTGTGTTGCAATATGCTGTACAATAACCTACCTGATCATGTAGGAAGAAGGGGCAAGCAGCCTAGCTCCAGATTTACAAGCACAAATAGATGAGACTCTAGAAGAGATAACCCCACGTTGTGTTTTGGAACTTCTAGCCTTGCCTCTTGATGATGAACATCGGGCACGGAGGGAGGAAGGTCTTCTTGGTGTCCGCAACATATTGTGGGCAGTTGGAGGAGGGGGAGCAGCAGCAATTGCTGGGGGTTTCACCCATGAAGATTTCATGAATGAGGCATTCTTACATATGTCAGCGGCTGAACAGGTTTTGGAAATAAATTTTGTATTTTTCTTTATATAATTTTCTATTTATTCTTGGTGTTTCTTTGTAAGGAATTTACATTTATCATTTTCTTCTTACCTTCAATCTTGTTGTGAAGGTTGAACTTTTTGTAGCCACACCAAGTAATATTCCAGCTGAAAGTTTTGAAGCGTATGGAGTAGCACTTGCACTGGTTGCACAAGCCTTTGTGGGTAAAAAGCCACATCTTATCCAAGATGCTGATAACTTATTTCAACAACTTCAACAGACTAAAGTTACAACTATGAGCAACGTTCCCTCTGTCTATACTCCCAAGGAGAAGAGAGAGTTTGATTTTGCATTAGAAAGGGGCCTTTGTGCACTGCTAGTTGGGGAGCTCGATCAATGTCGGTCATGGTTGGGATTAGATACTGATAACTCTCCCTATAGAAACCCATCCATTATAGAATTTGTTATGGAAAATGCAAAGGGAGACGAAGACAGTGATCTTCCTGGACTATGTAAATTGTTGGAGACATGGTTGATGGAGGTGGTTTTTCCCAGGTTTAGAGATACTAAAGACACACAATTCAAGCTTGGAGATTACTATGATGACCCTACTGTGCTGAGATATCTTGAGAGGCTGGAGGCTGTTGGCCATTCACCCTTAGCTGCGGCTGCCGCCATAGTAAAAATTGGAGCTGAGGCTACTGCTGTCATTAGCCATGTCCAGACTAGTGTAATAAATGCATTGAAGAAGGTATTTCCTGTAGACTCTGAAGATAAAATTGTGAAACATCAAGAAAATGACGAGAAGGATAATTTTGGCCTTTCTGAAAGCAAGAATCCTCTGTTATATTCAGATCTTGATACTTCAGTCAATGTTGATGTTTCTGGAATAAAAAATACTGTTGTGATGGGTGGTGCTGAATATATTACTGATGAAATTAAAAGTGCAAGTGTCAAGATCATGTGTGCTGGTGTTGTAATTGGACTTGTAACTTTGGTTGGTTTGAAGTTTTTACCTGCTAGGAATGGTTCACCCATGTCTGGCAAGATGACTAACCCAGCAATGGCATCAGACACTTTCAACTTGGGTATGGTTGTTAGAGACATCTGCAATTTGGAACGTTACTTATCAATAATCTGAATGTTGCATTTGCGTTAGATCCAAATTTTGGTTGTAAATTTCATGCAATAATTTCTTATTACTGCACAGGTTCCTTGGGAGATGATGAATTAGGAGAGCAACTACCAAAAATGGATGCAAGGGTTGCAGAAGCTCTAGTTCGTAAGTGGCAAAATATAAAATCCCAAGCTTTTGGACCTGACCATTGCCTTGGAAGATTGCATGAGGTAGGATATTTAACTGGTTTGCAAAAAGTTAGAGATTATAATTAAACTTCTTAAAAATGAAATGCATATTTATGCTGTTTATTGTTTTTCTATTAAACCCTTATCTGGTATGACGGGATACCATTTTGGCTATTCTTTCGGAGTTTTGGAAGGTGAGGGAATGAGTGGGTTCATGGATTGAGAAGGAAGGAGTGAGGCTGTGAGTGAGCTCTTCTCTCTAGATCTTGTTCTCTCTTATTCCCTCCTCTATTCTCCTTTACTTTCTTCACTCTCTTCTTCCTCCTGGTACCATCATATCATTAGCACATGTGGGCATGGTATTTTGTTATCGGGTATGGAGAAGCAGCTTCTGAATGTATTTTATAGTAGTTTTATTTGTAGGCTTTTCTTTCTCCTGAACCAGTACCCATCCGTAAATATTTTCTTTTAATTTCGTTGCTTTTTTTTATTTATTGGCAATTGTCTCGAAGGCTGAAGCAGTTATGCGGTGAATTATTATATGATCTGCTTGCCCTGAAATGACCTGGTCCAATAGAAAGCTCCTAAGGACACTATATTCTAGGAGTCCAAACTATGTGATTGAAAAAAATCTTCTGTGTCTGTTGTGGGTCAAGGACACTTCCCCCTTCTTCAAACTCTCATTCATATTTTTCATAGAGAAATTTCTAATCAACTATACAACAAGATTTATTTTGATGTTTCTGTATGATGTTTTGCTGAAAATTAAAATCTGATAGGTTTTGGACGGGGAGATGTTGAAAATATGGACCGAGCGCGCAGCTGAAATTGCAGAGCGTGGCTGGTCTTATGACTACTGCTTGGAGGACCTCAACATCGATAGTGTGACTATATCACAGAATGGGCGCCGTGCTGTGGTGGAAACTACTCTCAAAGAGTCAACCCACCTCACTGCGGTTGGTCATCCACAACATGACTCTTCTAACAGCAGAACTTACACAACAAGATATGAGATGTCTTTTTTAGGTCCAGGGTGGAAGATTGTAGAAGGAGCCGTCCTTGAATCATAAACTAGATTATGTAACTCGTATATATAAATATCAGGTTATCACACTTCAATTTTTCCACTGCCACTGCCTTTTATATACTTCTAAACGTTGTGCACTTTTCAAGCACGTACATTGTCAAGCTGTAAATACTCACTGTATTTGCCATTAGATTATCAAGTGAGGATGTCAGAACCCCCTGTTTAACTTGCAATTGTTTGGAAGGGAGGATGAAATGCAATGAAAATGAGATAAAATGAAAAGGAATTGATGAAATGGGAAATGGAGTTTTGTCCATGTTTAGATCAGTGACAATTTAAGTATTATACTTGAAACTATAACCATTGATCACTTTAATATCTAGTTGTATTAATTAATCTCACCTCAAATTTTTCATCACTTTAGTTCTGATGTTGGTTATCCGCAAGTGTTTTTCACTATTTTATATAAAACTAAGAGCTTCAGCCAATCAGTAATCCTCAACCCATCCTCCATAAACCCCTTAACATGAACGCTAACTGTCAGATCATCTCCAAACCGAGCCTTCATTACTATTCCAGCAACCATCCCCCCCTCTCTGCCAATGCCACCTACAAACCAAAATGGTCACCCTCGAAACCTACCATGAAAGAATAAATATTAAAAAGTTATTTTATGTGAATTAAAAAAAATTCTTATGAAAATATTCTGTTTTTAACTGGAAACAGCATTATTCTATACTTACCTAACAAACATAAGATTCTTATAAGAAATTAAAGACTATTTTTAAATTTTGATACTACACCGTGATTCAAAACTTGGGATTGCCTTTATAAATAAATTCTTAACTTTCTTATTATTATAAAAGAGATTTTGTTATATTTGACTCAAATTTTAGCGCATATTTACTTTCCTTTTAAAAACAGTTTTCTATTTTTAAAAATAAAATATAATATAAAATTTTGTATTATATTATATTTTTAAAAATAGAAAACTGTTTTTAAAAACAAACATGCTCTTATTATTTTATCCTTATGATATTTTTACTCTCATTTTTTTTTGTCTATAAAAAGGGAATTTAGGCATAGAGCATATAAACAAATGATCATTCCACATACTGGAGATGATAAAAGATTAATGTCAATTCTCATTTTCAATAAATTTAGTATAGCTTTAACAAAATCAACGTTAGGTGCATTTATAAATTTTGTCTCTATTAATAAATTATAATCTTTTTTATTTACTTGTTAATCACAAAAAAAAATGTCAAATACTTTTTAGATTAGCCAACCCTTCTTTTCTTGATTTTGTAAAGCAACATTGGTTTAGAAACAACAATAATTCACAGTTGAAATATTTAACTTCATTTTTTTTTTCACTACAAGCAGTCGTTGCAGGTTTAAAGACTATTAAAAAATAATTAAATTGAATGGAAAGAATCGAAACGCCTTAGTGAATAGCAGAACAGATCCTTACTCTTTTAATATTATATTGTTTCACGTCCTATTGAAAGTTCATAAGATACTATTGGAGATTAGGCACTTGAAACTTGCGTGTTCGCACTAGTACAAAAAACACTTTTAACAATAGAATTTTATATCAATTTTTTATAAAATAAGGTAGAAAAAAATGTGGTGACATTTTTAAATTTTTTGTAAATTTTTCTATATTAGTTATCAAAATAATAGATGTGAAAAGTACTTTCTACATCGATTGTAAAAATAACTGATATAAAAAAAATATAGTAACATTTTAAAAATTTTTACAAATTTTTTTATCTACATCGGTTGTTTTTACAACTGATATAAAATGTATATTCTACATCGATTGTTTCTGAGAAACGATGTAAAATCAATTTAAATTTTAAATTTTCAGATATGCTCTAACAAAATAGCATAAATTAGAGAGTCGAACACAGAGTTTTCTTAAGTTTCTGAAATTTCTGTTCTGATAGCTAGGTGAACAACGAACATGCAAAGATTTTTCTGTTACATCAATTATTTTAATTTATTTCATTTTTTTGTTATTTCACTTTTTGTTGTTTCTTCTTCCTTAATAAACTATTTAGTAATTGCATCTTCTTTATGTTTCAGATTCAAACAAAAATAAACAATAATGAAACACATGAACACAACAAACACGATAAACAATCAATACGACAAATAAAATGAACTTGAAAAACACTGACGCTATTGACTAAGATGAATATTAAGAATATTTTTTATATTGGTTATTATAAATAACCGAGATAGAAAGTGACACTTTTTACATCACCTATATCTACATCTGATATAAAATCCATGTAAAAAGCCTTTTTTCCTATAGTGTGGTCGAGAGTTTTTTGTACCACAAATTTAAGGCTAAAGATACTTAACCTTCGTATTTAAAGCGAGGTAGGGGCAAATGTTCACAAAACTTACTGTTCATATATAGTTTAATTTTACCACCATTTCTCTGCAATATTGTGTTCGAAAATCAGCAAACAAGTCTTGGATATGTATTAGGACTGATTTCTGAATTCTGACACCAGAATTAATATTGTAGGGATACAAAGGTTCTTATTTTAGGGACTTACAAATATTATTATTTTTCTAGTCACTTGATGCATCATATATTGTTGTACCAAAATTTTCATTATAGTTGGGTTACCTTGATAATGGATATCACGTGAATGGTCGGAGGCATGAAGCATGTTTTCTGCAATAATGTTAAGAGTGAATATATGGCCTTCATTCCCATCCGTCTCTACTACGCCACTACGTCTTGTGATATACGTTCTCCAGAGTCGTAGGCTTAAAGGCCAAGCAATAGCAAGAAAGAAGGGTAGGACGCATATTAATATGCAACATAAGTTTATGAGGGTCCATTCTTATCGGAGTACTTTTTGTCGTTTGCACTTGATGCATGGATATTGGTTATTCTGTTGGTGAACAAAATTGGTTCTTTAATAACTTGGGGACAACTAATTTCTTTTGCTTTTTGAGTGTATTTTTTAAAATGCATGCATAATAAAAATAAAAAATAAGCAAAAGACAGAGATAACTATATACAGTAATGCATACAATATCAATATTCAGTTGTTTTAGCGGAAATTTCCTTATGAGCTGAAGACTATACTGATCGACTTCATATGAGGGTGATTTTTTTGAAAAAATCAAAGGGAATAGACTGGCTAGACTGTAAAGCCGATTGTGTCTTTGGTTCCAATACTTCTTATTATGTTATCACATAACCCATTTATATTTCGCTTACACCTACGACTTATCTGGTCAAAATAATTGAACCAAAATTTAAAAGTTTCGGTTGATCAATCTCTAGTTTGAATTTAAGAATGTTAAAAGATCATATTAAACAATCTTTTGGATAAATTTTCGAGGTATGACTTTAATCATGGGAACTTTATCGATCAATTCTCAAAAATTGAAAAAAGAGACCAATACTGTATACTAAAAGAGGCGCCAATTTATTTGAACAACCCTTTTCATTAAACCGGGAATGACCCTTTGCATTATTGCAGAAGTTTAATTATCCTAATTAAACAAGCCACGACATTTTTTGTCGGGTATTCTCTTTTTTCAATAATAATTGTAAAACTTTTAGTAAATCTCAACTGCTACAATTATTGTCGTAAAGTTTTTGTTATGCACATAATAGATATATCTTTTGATCTTATCTGATGCATGCAACTTTCAGAAGTGACTTCTCAAAGCTGTTATCAAAGATTTGTTAAGCATTGTAATGCATCTTTCGATGAAATTCGATCTGTTTCTGCTTCCCATTGGAGAGTGGAGCAAGTTGTGGCAGAATATAATTAGAGTAACAGGCCGTGCCATGAGCCATATTCCAAGCAAAGAGAGGAACGCATGCAATGTCAGTGGGGAATTGCTGTGTGGGGGACAGCATGGTGTTTAAACAACTCATTGCTACGATATTTTCCTGTGGGGACAAAGTGAATTCTAAGACATCTCAATTTTTACTACCAAAGAGTTAAAGTTATTGGAATATTTTATTGATCCTATCAAGTGGGGGCATAAAGCGTCGACCATGTTGGTTGCACAGCATATATATTAATTGAATAGTCACAACCACTACATATTCAGCATTCATTATTCTCTGTCGTGGGTCAAAAGATGAAACCCTTGAGAAATTTTGGGGTTCTCTTCTTAATCCTTGCCGTGGAAATTGTTGGAATCAAAGCGTACGGATTGAAAAATGGCACTGCTCATAGTCAAGTCAACGCCACTTTGGTAACTCTCTCCCATCAAGGTAAAAACAAAGAGTTAAATGGAAAGCACATTAATGGTTCCTTCAATGAAGTTGTGTACAACACAAGCAAAGGTACTTGGTATTATAGAGGTGGTGGTGGTGGAGGAGGAGGAGGAGGAAGAGGAGGGTTTAGATGGGGGTGGGGTGGAGGAGGAGGTGGTGGAGGGGGTGGTGGTGGAGGTGGTAGTGGGTGGGGATGGGGCGGAGGAGGGGGTGGTTGGTGGAAATGGGGGTGTAGAGGGGAACCAAGAAGTCATGGTAAAGGGAAGCATGTAGTGAGGGGTGCAAAGCACTATCACACCTCAAAGGAAGACTATAGTTTGGGTGAGTTTGCACAATGCATGGCAAGAACAAGGTGTCGAGGCATGAGGTTGAACTGTCCTCTTCATTGTGGAGGACCTTGTTTCTATGATTGTCACCATATGTGCAAGGCTCATTGTCGCCGACCCTGAAATATGCTCAAGTTAATTTTGCTATTATTACCAAAAAAAAAAAGAAGTTAATTTTGCTATTCATTTTTTTTTTGTTTCTAATTATTTAATGTTGACTCATCCAAAATTACGGTTTGAATCAAATTCAGTATCATATATTGCATTTCATAGGTAGGCAATTATGTTGACACTGGTTTGAAAGTCTGGTTTGTACTACTTATCCCTATGCCATTAATTCTTCTGTATGTTTGATGTGTTACTCTTTCCATTTTTGTTCATGAACATAAGATAGTTGTTGAGATGCTATCTATCCAATTCTCTTTACACTCTACCTTCTGTTACCCAAATCACAATGGTTGATTAATTACATTTATCAGTTTAAAGAGATTGGTCAATATATTCTCGTATTGGTATTTAGCAGTAAGATTGAGCAATGTTACGAAAGATTGGTCAATGATTTTAGAGTGATTAGATAATTAACATTAAATTAGTTAATGTTAATGAAATGAATTAATCTCCAAACATATAGATAAATTTGTAAAAAGTATAATTGACCAATCTTCGTGGGCATTGATCAGTCGTGATTGACTTTATAATGTAAATTAAAATTTGGTTGGTCAAAGATAGATTTAGATATTCTATAAGATGGATGGTCCACCATGTACAGTATATTTTTTTATACTCATTCACTTTCTTTCATTAATATAATCATTTAAAATACAAATTAACGGTTGAAAATTTACTGGAGAGGCTACAGAGAGTTTGGCAGGAGACGATCTAAATTTGCAAGAGATAACTAGAAAGATCAACTATTAATTAAACTGTAAAAATAATTTTATTCTAAAATTATTTGTTAAATTAAAAAATTTTATTATATAAATTATGTTTATAAAATTTTATATATTAACTTAAAATTATTGAATATTTTATTTATATACGTCAAAATTAATATAATATATACTTTTAAATTATATAAAATTTCAAAATCTTTGATTACATTCGTATAACTTCTAAATTTTGATAAAATTCAACGCAGGTAATAAGATTATATATATATATATATATATATATATATATATATATATCTTATTACCTGCGTTGAATTTTTATAATTTTTGTTGATCTAATTAATGAATGATAACTAAAATTGAACAATTATAAGACTATAATCAAATAATATTTTTTATTTTATATATTTAAAATGTAGGTTATATTAATTTTAACAAACATGAATGTAATATCAAATAATTTTAAATTATTCTAAAATTTTGTACACAGAGATATAACTTTATTAATTTACTTAAGATAAAGTTATTTTACTCCATAGGATAATATATACAAATTAAGACAAAATTATGCAAGATTTGAATCTTATTCTTTATTTAATGAAATTTAATTAATAATTAATGAACAAAATTAGTCCTTTTTTCCTTTAACTTTTGGGTATGGTTTGCTTTAGTTTTTTAACTTTTTTTTTTTATTTTTGTTCTCAAATATTTGTTTTTTTTTTCACGCTGATCATTTCCATTAGTTATGTTATAGAACATAACAGAAACATTTTATGTGACATTGAAGTTTATAATCACTATGTTTTAGAGGAAGTTTGAAATATTGAAAGTGAAAAATATATGTTCATAAGGCAAAAATATTTTGTGTAATAAGGAATTCTTTCTAGCAAAGGACTAGAAATTTGAAGTGGAAGTGAACATTAATGTTATAGAATGTTTCTATTTCTGAAATAAGGCCATCTCTAACGGCCGTTTCGTGCACAGTTTCTTAAAACGAGATGCGAAACATTGCGTTTCTTCACTGTTGGAGCAATCTGACGTGGCATTTATAGTTTCTTTAACAGAAAATGCGTTCCTAATATAAGGAACAATTTCTTCTCCTGTGCGATCTCATCTCCATGGTGGGACCTCCGTATGATGCGCCCAACTCTTGGGGTTTCTTACCATTAGAGTGAATTTGAGTTTGAGTTGCTTAATGCTGACGTGGCAATGTAGAGACTACAAAATACATATTTCAATGTAGGAAGAAGCCCTTTCAAGAAATTTCCATTGGAGATGCCCTAAATTCTTTGCATATGTTGAGTATATTATTTTATTTGGATTTTGTTGGCTTATAGGGTGACAACATTGTTGAATATTTAAAAGATTTTATCTTTTTAAAATTTAAGTTTCTTTTGTTATTAAATTTTTTGGGTCATAGGAAATGGATAAATTCTGCATAGAAATTCACCATAGTGACAAGTTTGAAAAGTCACCAAAGACTAAGTATGTTCAAGGTGAGACATGTATATGAGTCTATGAAGAAGATTTTAGGAGTTATTTTGAGTATCTGGATGAGGTACATGAATGAAGATATAATATGATTGATATTATATGGTACAAAATAAGTGGAAAAAGTCTTGATGAATTGAAGGAACTAAAAGATGATAAAGGAGCTATGGAGATGATTAAAGTGTCTAAGTGTTATGAAAAAATAAAGTTGTATGTAGTACATGAAATTTCATAAGTTGAGATATGTACTATGTTTTATTACTTGATTATTCCATGAATAATGGTGGGGTGCTAGTTGGTGAGATGGGTGTTAAAGGAGAAGTAGCACAATAAAATATTAAAATGGATTATAAGGTTGAAGTGGAACAAGAAAATAAGGATCAAACAAAGCATGTTGATGGTAGTCAAAATGAGAAAAAAATAAAAATAAAATAGAGAAAAAAAACCAAAAGATTAGGAAGAAGTGAGAAAAAAAAGAAAAAAAAATAACTCCTATGGACTTTCATATTGATTCCAATTTTGATGACTTTTAAGTTGAATCTCAATTTGAGGTTGGTTCTAATTATGCTAATCAAAGACATTTGCTACAAGTAAGGATGCTTTTGATCTTGATGAAGATTACAATGGTGAAGGATTAGAGAAGGATGTAGAGTCTGATAAGGAGGAAGATAGAAACAAATTTAATTTATTTAAAATACCATCAATGATGACTAATTACAAATGAGAATTAAGCACATTATTTGCATCTAGAGAAGACTTTAAAAAGGTTGTGAAGACATATATTATTCACTCTGTTAGAGACTTAAAGATTCAAAAAAATGATAATGAGAGAGTAAGAGTGGTATGTAAAGGTGAATATGCAAGTGGATGAAATTTTATGTCAAGTTACCGAGAAAAGACACTTAGAAATTAAGAAAAATTGTAGATGAACACACATGCAATAGGAAGTATAGGGTGAATTTGTTAACTTTAGTTTGGTAGTAAAAAATTACAAGATAGTATAAGAGAAAATCTCAATATAAGTTGAATGACATTAAAGATGAAGTATAAAGGAAGTGGAATATTATAGTAAGTCAAAAGCACATAGAGCTAAGAAGAAAACAATAAACCTTGTTGATGAGTCTTTTAAAGAGTAATATAAAAGGTTGTATGATTATTGTCAGATGTTAAGGAGTCAAATTCTGGTTCAACTATAAAGTTGATAATTGAGCAAATTAATTATGCAATTGAGGAAGGTGAAAATTTTCCAAGACAACTTTTTTTATTTTTGAAAGATTTTATGTCTATTTTTGTGCTTACAATGAGAGTTTTTTAAAGTGTAAATTCATCATAAGATTGGATGGTTATTTTCTGAAAGGATATTATGATGGAAAAATTTTGCTTGATATACGGAGGGATCCCAATGAACAAATGTTGCCAATAGCATTTGTAGTTAGCATTTGCAGTTGTGGAAGGAGAAAATAATGACTCATAGCACTGTCTTTTAGAGTTATTGATTTCTTATTAAGAGTGTGTTCCAGTGTACAGGGCACTTATCTTTGTGTCTAATCAAGAGAAGGTATGACCATTGCACTCATCTTGGTTTACTCATATGCATGACGTTTACTTGTATTTTTTATTTTAGGGACTATTGCCAGCCATTGAGGAGTTATTGGTTGGAGTAGAACAAAAAGTTTTGTGTAAGATACATGTATAGTAATTTTATAAAGATATATCCATGTAAACATCTAAAAGAGCTTATTTGAAAGGCAGCAACGACAACTTATTCATGAGAGTAGAAAAATCATATGAAAGAAATTAGGAACATTAATGAAGAGACATTTAAACACCTTATGAAGATTCCACCAAGATATTGAAGTAAGTCAAAATTTTCTTTCCAATCTAAGACTAATGTGGTTATAAACAATATATCTGAAACATTTAATAGTATCATAATGGTACCTAGACAAAAGTTCATTATTACTATGATGGAAGACACAAAGGTGTATCTAATGGAAAGATGAAATGAGAATAGAAAAAATATCATTGTTGACCAGAGATATATTGTCAAATATAAAGAAAATGTTATAAAAATTACAAGTTGAATTTAAATGGTGGTTGCTAATGTATTACTTTCATCATGCGTTAACTTTTTAATATGGTTCATTTTAGTTTTCTAAGTTTTTCATACGGTTCATCTTAAACCTCAAAGTTTTTCTGTTTAGTTTATTTTAGTTTTTTAACTATTCTATATCAACTATAATAATCCTTTAATATAATTTTGAATTACAACTTACTCTTGTATTTTTGTTTGCAAGGTGGTTTGGAGATCATATTTTTGAGGTCAAACATATCAATATTATTGAAGATAGGTTTGTTGTAACACCTTAATTTTAATTTCAATTAAATAATAATTTCGCAAATCAGATAACCAAATTTTCATAAAAGATTTCAAAATAAGTGAAGGGTTACAAATTTATATCAAATAACTGTTATAGGACTAGTTCAATTACAACATTTTTAAAATAAATTCTATGTCCTATAGCAGTCCATCCGTCCCTTCATTGAGTCCGGTGCTGATCATCTTGATTACCTGAAAAATGAATGTAAGGGTGAGTACTCTGCACTATCCAAAAGCACACAGTCAGCATAGAGTCTCACCTCCAGCACATTACCAATACATTAAACAAATACAATCACATGCAGCATTATCACACAACTCATGTTAATTTAACACCGATGCACTCATAGCATCGGCAACAT